TTCACTTTCTAATTTTAACTTAGTTTCTTTGAATTGGCTATTTCTTTTCACATTATTGATCCATCAATTAAAAAGTAATTTTTGTTGTTCATCTTTTTAAGAGAAATCCCCAAATGCAATGGGGTACAAAGTTCGCAAGTCGACAGATTATCGTCATTGCCCCCTCTACCTTCCTTCACTTAATTAATGCCATATTTCCATTTACACATAGTTCCGGACCATGACGTGCACCTAATTCACACATCACGCGTTGTACACTTACCACAGCCAAAGTCCTAGGCCTCTTTGTATCTCATTACTATATGGATTTTACAAAAATAAAAAGTAATAGCCCAGTCCACTAGTGGTATTGTCAGCTCTGGGCCTAGGCCCTCACGGGTTTAAAATGCGTCACTAGGGTCTAAGGCTTGTTAACTTATACACCCAGCATCCCTCTTGTGTTTTGCCGATATGGGACTCTGTTTGAAATTTGGTGTTACATACACCCCCTCTAATGAACTCTGACCCATCGTTGGCAAGGCTGAAACAAGACTGGCTCTGATACCATCTGTAACAGCTCAATCCGCTAGTGATATTGTCCGCTCTGGGCCTAGGCCCTCACGAGTTTAAAACGCGTCACTAGGGTCTAAGACTTGTTAACTTATATACACATCATCCCTCTTGTATTTTGCCGATGTAAGACTCTGTCTAAAATCTGGGTGTTACAAAAAATTAAGGTCCTTTTAGTTTGTTTTGGCTTTAAGCCACAAAATCCACTGAGCCGCCCCTGTTAAGGCAAGAATTTCTGCATGTGTACATGTTAGTGCATGCTTTTTCTCATGGAATCCCAAGATCGTGTCTCCTTTACAGTCTCTTATGACTCCTAAGCCACAGATAATATGCTTGAAGGCTCAATCCACGTTCAGCTTGTACCATCCAGTGTAAGGTTTATGTCAGTGAGTCTTGCATTGGATTCTTCTCATATAACTACTTTCTCTGTCAGTCAGGAGAGTATACTCTATAGCTTGGTTGATGACAAAAGATATTGAAACACTATTAGTAGTATTATTTTCAATTATTCCCATTTCTGTTAAGCCAAAGGTTCCATAGAGCAAAGGGAAAAAGTTGAGTCCATGTTACATTACTTGCTGGAATATTTGGATTGTTATACCTTATTTTATCCAGCCAGCGGAGGTCATCTGATCAGTAGGGTGTGGTGCTGGTCAAGTTTAAAGAACGCTAGAAACTTTTAGCAATGTAACAGTGCAGAAAAATATGAATTATTTCTTCGTCGCCGGATTATACAGACCTTATTCACATTCACACCAATGTGATTAAGATAAGATCTAGAAGGTAATTTGTCGTGGTAGTACTTCCATAGGAAAAAATTTGATTAATTTTTTAGGACAGTGAATTTTCCAATCCACCTGAAGCTCCTAGCTGAGGTTATTTCATTTTCTATTATTTATAGCAAGAAGCAGTTGAGAACGATCCAATACTATTGGGTTCCCCTACGAGACAATCATAAGCTTTGTTTTATTGGTAAATAGATAGAGAGGATGTTATCAATAATATTTTTTGGTAGAACAAAGGGTATTTTATCGAGGGACCAATTGTTGTGACTAATTAAGTCAGTAATTTTTAGCGAGGCGTCATTTTTATTTGATCTACCTTCTATGCAATTCCTAAGATGAGGACTGTTAGGGATCCACCTCGCATCCTAGATGCCTAGGGAGGAATTATTATTAATGTACCACACAGTGCCTGTATCACAAAAATACCAACCTTTGAGGATGCTTTTCCAACAAAAGGATTGATGTTTCTTGGTATTAGAGATGTAGGATTGGATTAGTAATTTTACCCATGGGGCTTGAGGATAATTTAATAATCTTCAGGCTAAGCTAGTAAGGAGTGCAAGATTTTTGTATTTGTTTTTTTTAAGTCCAAGGTCACCTTTATCCTTGTCTAAAGTGATTGCATCCCAACTTAGGAGGTGGAGTTTTCTCTTGGAATCATTTGAACGCCAAATAAAATCCCTTTAAATTTTGCTAGTAGTGTTGAGTATCTTAGTAGGCAGAAGGGTGTATTACATGACATAGTTGGGAATGTTGGCAAGCGTAGATGATGATAATGTAGTATGTAGTTCTACCAACTATGTTCAAGCAGTTTATTGTCCAGTTAGTGAGTTGAGCAGGCATACTATCTAGAATAAAAAGGAAATCCTCAGCTTTTGGAGAGGAGTTTAGGATAGGAAATCCAAGGTATTTAAGTCACATAACAACCATTAAGCAGAGAATGAGTAGAAAAATAGGGGAATGGGGCTACAATTCTCGAAATGACCAACCGAATCGTTACACCATGTATTTTAGCGATTATGAGAATAAACTATTTCTTAAGATAATAATAATCTATAGGATAGAATTGCATAGAATTCTATCTATCTAGCTAATAAAAACACGAGTATTAAAACGTGAAATATTAACAACAAAAATAATCTCGAAATTGATTGACAAAAATAAATTATTTCTTCAAAGAGGTACTTTCATATTGGATAAATTATACATAACTAAGACTTTGCCTAATATATGGAGTAGTACTTTGAGATCGTCTAAAATGACCCTTTAATTTATAATGGAATGTTAATTCAAGTTGCAATGTCATACTAATCTTACCTGAACACAACATTGGACAATATAGTGAATTCATTCAAGTCTCTAAGATAAAAACTAAAGCGGCTCAAACACCGAAAAGCTATTCATTTCTATGCCCCCTCATTACGTGATTGAGTAGAAAAGAAAAATACTAAGCGGAGTTTTGTCGCTTAAAATTGAATTTTCATTCATTTGCAATCTTATCAAAAAGTATAAAATGTCCTCAGACACAAAAAATTCCTCTCCGAGTATTCCAATATCAAGCCTTAAGCAACGATAAAAAAAAAGAATATAATGAACACATGACAGAGAAAAATTCTCTCTCTAAAAATTTCCTCTCAATGGTAATAGCGTGTCTTCACGCATCCTCTAATGGATACATCTCCGGCTGGTCAACCGGCGCGTATCACCCAGCCAAAAGACCCACCTACAGATATAAGGCCACTGATGGCCATACCACCTGAACCAAAAACCTTGTACTCCACCATTGTGGCTGGAACTTCAAGCTCTTGCAACACGACCAACATCAACACTGTGGTGGCAAGGCAAATGACCCACAACGGCAAACCGGCGGTTTTCTTCAAAGCTTCCGACTGCTATGGTGTAATGGCGGAGAATTGCAAATGGACTCTGGTTGGAAAATTCACCATGGGGAGACCCAAAATTGAAACAATTAGGGCAAAATTCATTGAAAAAATTCCTCTAAAAGGAAAGGTAAGAATTGGGGCTTATGATTATAGACATGTCTTCATTGAATTTAACAATGAAGCAGACTTCAACACTACTTATTTTCAACGATTTATGGGAATTTCTGGAGCCCTAATGCGGATGTTCAAATGGTCCCCTGACTTCGACCCTAATGAGGAAACTTCCTTGGCTCCCATTTGGGTATTATTACTAGAATTACCTTTCCATATGTTTAAATGGGATTACTTAAGACAAGTATTGGAATAAATTGGCATTCCAATGAAGGAGGACATTGCTACCATTGCAAGAACCAGACCGCACATGGCCAAGGTCAGGGTTGAATTGATGAAATCTCTCCCAGACTCTGTTTTCGTAGGCATTGAAGGTGATACAACAGGACTGAAGGGCAGAGATCAAAAATTAGAATACGAGGGTGTTCCAGCATTCTACAAGACATGTAAACTGCAAGGACATGATGTCGAAAGGTGCAAGGTCGAGGAAAGAAAGAGAGAACAAGCTAGAGCTAACAGAGAAAATGAAAAGGCTGAGAGAAAAGAAGACCAGCCAAAGGCTAACATCTCTGGAGATGCAGGAACGAAGGCTAACACTGAGGGGGCACATACACGCATTGAGAACCAAAAGGATGATGGATTCATACAAGTTAGAAATAAGAGGAACAAAAAAAAGAAGGCCTTTTAGGCAGAGAGCTCAAACACCAACAACGATGAAATTAAACAGACTGTTATGAACCAACTACAACCTCCACATGATCAGGAAGATCCTCAAAATAGAAACATTCAAGCGAAAGAACCTATCAAAGGCATTGTGGTAGGAAAACACGATGGAACCACTACTATCCAGGAGAAAGGAACCAACCCAAACAAGAAGAGCAGCAGAAACAAAAAAAACGAAGACAAAAAAGGTGAATACCCAATGTCTGAAAGTTAAAAACAGACTTTGGATCAAACAAAAGCCACGACAAATAGAGGAAAAAAATCATAGAAGCAGTACAAAAGGAAGGAAAAATCCACATGGTGAAAAAAACAAAAGAAAATACTACAAACAAGGAGAAAGAGATAGAGTCTCAACAGGAAGAAAAAACAAAAGAGCACGAAAGTAATAGTGCTAGTTCAAACAACTAGATACTGTCCCCAATTATTGCGGACACGGCTTGCATTCAAAATAAAGGAGGAAAAATCGTTATTGATCTGGGAACACTTGAGCATATCCAAGGGAGCTGAACACCAAATATGGACCAGATATAGATAACAATTCAATCTATGAATCAGGAGAGGACATCAATAGTAACCATTCTCACGAGGCCTCCACAGATGATGAAGTAGCTGAAAGCTCTATAGGAGCAAGTGAGGATAATGATGAATAGGTTGCAAACAGTTTAGTTGAAGCTTTTGTACCTGCACCAAAGCAATTTGATGATCACGTGGCAAAAGAAACTGAGGAGGTGATACAAAAACATGGGCTCTCACCAAGAGGAAACAAAAGAAGAAACCACAAAGGTAAAGGAGGTCATCCCAAAACCTCCAGTACCTTCCAAACACAAGGTAGCCTACAAACCCCCAATCATTCCTAATGATTAGCATCATCAATTGGAATATTAGGGGTATGATTTCCAAGGGTGCAAGTGAAAGATTAGTCAAACTAATCAGAATCCATAAGGCTCAGATGGTCATTCTTCAAGAACCTTTCCTCTCTTCTGATAAGCTAGAAGATTACAGAAGGTTCCTAGGCTTTGACCAAGCTGTTTCCAATAAATGTAGCAAGTTGTGGTGCTTTTGGAATAATGTATTAGAATGTGAAATCATCGACAATAGCAGACAAAAGATTACTCTCAAGATTAAGGAAGATGAGCATACCTACTGGATCACAGCAATATATGCGAGGAACAATGTAGCGAAAAGAAGGAAACTATGGACTAAACTGAGGAGCATGAGCAACAGAGTTAATGGACCATGGACCATCCTTGGCGATTTCAAAACTATTATGGCTCCAGAGGAAAAGAAGGGAGGCACTCCTCATACTCTTAGCAAGAGTGCAGACTTTATTAGATGCATGGATGATTGTAGAATGTCTGACCTTGGCTATACAGGGAATCCTTTCACATGGTGCAATGGCAGCAGGGGAAGAAGAAGAATTAACACAAGACTGGACAGGGTTCTTATTAATGAGGACTGGGCAGAGAAATTTCAAACCAACAGAGTCGACCACCATGCCAAATCAAGGTCGGACCATAGCCTCATCACTTTTAAATTTGGAAATAAGAACCCTAAAGTTATCAAATACTTTAGGTTCCTTAATTTCTGGACTAAGCAGAGTGATTATAATTCCTTAACTGAAAGCACCTGGAACAAGGAGGTACAGGGAAATGACCAATGGATACTTCAATAGAAATTGAAAGTTGTAGCCAGATGCCTTAGCAAATGGTCCAAAGAGTCTATTGGAGATGTATTCACCTCAGTCAAACATATAGAGCTGGAGATGTGTAGGTTAGAGCACGAATATGAGACAAATAACAATGATGTCAATAGGCAAAACCTATACAAGGCCCAAGCTGAATATACTAGATGACTGAAGATGCAAGAATATATCCTCAAGCAAAAATCCATAATCAAATGGGCTGAAGAGGGTGACTCTAACTCCAAATATTTTCATAGTGTGATCAAGGAGAAAAGGAGGAGAGCACACATCTACAGAATTAAGGATAATCAAGGAATATGGATAGAGGGCAATGAAGCTATTGCAAAAGCTGCTATTGATCACTTCAGCAATATATTCGCCCACAAACATAGTGACAACAATCTGTCTATCCTGGGTTGTATTGATCTGATAGTCACAGAGAAAGACAACCACTTCCTAAACCAGATCCCTGATGAAGAAGAGCTAAAAAATACAGTATTCTCTATAGATCCTAATAGCTCTGCAGGCCCGGATGGTTTCAATGGTCACTTCTACCAAGCATCATGGGACATTATCAAAAGGGAGGTTTGCAAGTTTGTCCAAAAAATTTTTAATGGCTATATTCTCTCCAGATTCTACACACATACAAACCTGGTCCTTATCCCTAAAATATCCTCCCCATCATCTTTATCACAGCTAAGACCCATTAGTCTTTGTAATGTGTCAAACAAGATCATCTCCAAAATTATCAGTATTAGGATAGCTAACATACTTCCTAAATTAATATCTGATAATCAATTTGGTTTTCTTAAAGGTAGATTAATCACTGAAAATATCCTTCTTGCCCAAGAACTGGTACATGGCATCAAGAAGATTAATCAAGGAGGAAACATTGTCATTAAGCTTGACATGTCAAAAGCTCACGACAAGCTCTCTTGGAGTTTCCTCACGGCTGTGCTAAGGAAAATGAATTTCTCTGAAATTATCATAGATTCCATTCACAGACTGATTTCTGTGAATTGGTATTCCATATTAATTAATGGAACAAGACATCTTCAAGTCAACAAGAGGACTGAAACAGGGAGACCCTCTTTCCCCTTCTCTATTTATTCTAGCGGCTGAGGCGTTATCTAGGGCCCTTAACAGACTCAATGAGAACAACCAATTTATTGGTTTCTCTATGAATCTCAAAGGACCCAAGATAAACCAACCTAAGTTATACTGATGACCTAATTCTTTTCTCTTCTGGTGACAGAAAATCAGTGAAGCTACTAATGGAAATCCTAGAGGACTACCAGGATGCATCTGGCCAAGATATCAACAAAGATAAAAGCTTTTTCCTAAAGTATAACCATGGTGTTAGCAGAAATAACAAAAGAGCCATTAGAAGACTCCGAAAATAGACAGGATTTAAGCATATGCAATTCCCATTCACATATCTTGGATGCCCTATATATAGGCAGAAAGAAGATTTGTTACTTCGCTGACCTAGCCACGAAAGTGCTCAACAAAGTAGGAGGCTGGCAAGGGAGACTCATCAAGCACATCCTACAGTCCCAAACTCTATATCCGCTTGCAGCTATTATCCCTCGTAAGACCATTATCAATCAGATTGAAATGTATTTGGCAAATTTCTTCTGGAGAGAAAAAGATGGGAAAAAGAGCTATCATTGGTGCTCCTGGGATAATATGAGATACCCTACTGATGAGGGAGGAGTTGGCTTCAAAAAGCTCCAAGATATATGCAACTCATTTGCAGCAAAACGGTGGTGGAGATTCAGGGTAGAAAACAACTTATGGACAAAATTTCTCCGAGCTAAGCAATGCCAAAGATCTAACTCGAGAGTTGTTGATGAGATAAAGCAAATCAAAATTGGTCATAATCATATCCAGGGTCAAGCCGTATGGACCCCCAACCCCCAAGGATCCTTTTTCCTGCTCCTCTGCCTACCAGCTCGTGAGGAAAAGAAAGATAATTCACCTCATCTGGCCAAAATCTGGAATAAGCATCTACCTTTTAAAATCTCCTTCACAACATGGAGATTATTGAAAGGCAGGCTACAACTAGATGATATTGTGCTAAAATTTGGTACTAACATTATATCTAGATGTTGTTGTTGCAGGTTGCCAGAAGAAGAAACCATGAACCATGTCTTTGCAAATAGCAACACAGCAAAGAAGGTTTGGAACACCATGTCCACTCCATTAGGATTCCAGACAACAGGAAGGAACATTCTATGCATCTTAACTCAATGGTGGAGCAAACATCCAAAAAATAATGTTCATAAGTTTCTACTATTAATTACCCCAACCATAATATGCTGGGAGTTATGGAAGGCCAGGTGTGGTAAGAAATATGGTAAGAAGACTATTTCTATTTTTAGAATATGTCAACAAGTTCTTTTTCAGGTTAAAGTTTCCATGGGCCAAAAATTCAATCAGATGGACTGGAATTGGACGTGGAACACTGTATGCAAGGTAGCGGAAGATTACAAAACAAGACTAAAAAGTGTTATGGCCCTTTAGGAACCTCCAGACAGTAATCAATGGAAAATCAACACAGACGGCAGTTTCATAGTAAACTCAAGCAAAAAAGGGGTTAGGGGTGTTGTTAGGAAAAGAAATGGTAAAATGGTGATGGCCTTCTCAGCACCAGTTCATTTCATGACTAACAATTACTCTGAAGTGCAAGCAACCCTGTTTGGTATTCTCTGGCGTTGTGATCAAAACTGCCAAGAGCTAATATTGGAACTAGACTCTCTTCTAGTTGTCAACATGATCCTAGGGGTATACAATACTCCATGGAGACTCAAAGAAGATGTTACTATTATTCAACAAAAGGTGCAACAACATGGCATCAAGATAAAACATTGCTACAGGGAAAGGAATGAAGTGGCCGACGCTCTATCCAAACATGCTACTACTCTCACGCAGCAGATCATCTTCCTCAACGAAACTGATCTACCTACTGAGGTCAGGAAAGCTATGATTATGGATAGACGGCAGGTTCCAAATTTGAGAATTAGACCAAGGAAACATTCAGGATGGATCTTTGAACCTCCTTAAATGATAAGGAAAAAGCTACTGCTGAACCGAATTGTATCTTGTTATAGTAACTCTTTTTTAATCTCTTAGGCCTAGCCATTTCCATTTACATTATCACTGCCCCATTATGAGGTTTTGGCTTATGTCCCCATCTTTTGTACTATTTTGCTTATGAATAAACAAAGTAGGGGTCTATGCCAAACCCCCCAACACCACAGGAGATGAAACCTGGGCGTTTGGTTTAAATAAAATAAAAAAAAAGAAGCCTTAAACAACGAAAGCAGTATGAAGGATTAAGATTCAATTCAATTAAATTAGCTGTAAGCATACATGATAAACAAAATATGTATAAATAATTTTGGCTAGCTGGGTCATGGCCATGCTTATGATATGTAATAGTTATACCAAGCATACTCGACGTAACCATGCTTGGTATAATCAAATGCCTCTTTCTTTTGTTTGGAAGACTACAACATGCTATTACTAGATTTCACATGATTGGTAATTAGATCTGTTCATAAGAATCACAATGATAAAGGTAGTTTTCGTCTTTCTTTACCTTATGTTTTTTGCTTTTGGCATCCGTTCATTTTGCACCATTTATCCGCTAAGACATATAATATTTAGATTTACAAGTTCCTTTTATTTGATTCAAAGTGGGTGTTACTAAATATTGATTACCCAAAAAAAAAAAAAAAAAAAAAACTTCTAGAAGATCATACTAAAATTTGTTCACATTTGAAGTTGATTTGAAATGATTGAGATCGAATCTTTCCGCTGAAAATCAAAGAAGAACACAGTTACTTAATAGTATATTCCTACGGTATACAATATGTTGTAGGAGTATATAGCTATATTGTAACAATATACTATTATAGTTACAATATACTGCAACGGTATAATATAATAATCGAAGAAGAACACAGTTACCTAACAATATACCATTACGGTATGCAATATACTGTAGGAGTATATAGCTATAATGCAATTGTATACTACTATAGTATATAATATATTGTAACGATATATTGTAATAATGTGCAATATACTACAACAGTATGCTGTAACAGTATACGATATACCATAATAGTATACTATTTTAATGTAATAGTATAATGTTGAATGAAGAACATAAAATATCATTTTCATGTATTTTATGCTATTTTGGTATATAATATATAATTCAATTATATATAGTTTATTACAATAATACATTATTATAATATACAATATGATGTTATAATTTATTACATGGCAATAATGTGTTCATTCCTAGAATCTGATTATGTAATTTATGGTGCTCAGCAGCAGTCGATGTAATATTCAGTGAATTAGATCAAGTGACAACTGATATTATTTTAATTTAATAATTGAATTTAAAAAATAAGAAAAAAGACAAAAGGTATATTATACTAGTTATATTAAAAAAAGGTGAACATAAATTAGATTATGAAGAGAAAAGAATATAAAAAAAGAATTTAAATGAAATTAGAAAAGGAAAAAAGAAGAAGATATCGAGAAAAAATAAAAGGAGAAAAGAAAGAAAAAAGGAAAAAAGGAAAAGAAACATAGAAATCAAAAAGAATTGGAGAAAAAAGAGAAAATTCCCCATAAAAATTACTACGGGTAGAAAATATAATTAGTTTATGGGTAGAAAAATAAATGGATAAACAAGGATAAATAGCTCTGTTTTGGTGGGTAACTACGTCATTCTCCCAATTAATTAGGCAAAAAAGATTAAGAATACACTGATACTACTTTAAGGACAATCACGGAAGGTGATAAAATCATGAAGATTTTTCATAAAGTATTATAATTTAAAGCATAATAACTATAATTTGTCTAATTATTTATTTGTAGCTACTGTTCAATTGTTACCGAATACAACTTACGTCAATTGTAATAGTTCACGCAACTGTATTTATACGCGCATCGGATACAACCAA